AGTATTCTCCGTGGGATGACTTTTCCACTGTACCCTTGGACTGCATTCATCCTGGGAGCTTATGGCGGTGCCCTCATAGTTCAGTAGTCTTTTCTTTCTCCCAATGCATAGGTTTCTGTCTCGGTCTTTGACTTTGGCCATTTTAGGTACTATCGTGTGTTGGTGCTCATCTAATTGGGTTTGTTCTGATGTCGATATTGTTCCACAAATCAAATGCATTCTTTCAGACGTCCTTCTTCTCATTTTGAACCATTGTTCATGGTTCCTCTACCTTCTACTTGGTCGACTTTTGGCTTGTGTCCTGTTCCGTGACCACTTGTTGTATTTCTGAGGGTTTCTTGAGGAGCAGTCAGTCCAAGGGGCCACTTCTGTGGATCCCCAGCCCAGCTGGGTGTCCCATCTCTTTGCCATCTCTTTGCTTGTTCTCTAATACTCTGGAGTTTTGCTTCAGAGTTCGCTTTCCGTGTTCTTCAGCTCAGCGATGTCTCCTTGTCACTGCAAAAAGGGTTGGTGCCTTTGGGGTTCCCTGAACCTCAGACATGAAACGCGCATGTACGACTCCTGGTGCTTCTTGGTCAGAGGCCGGGTTCCTTCTTTAACGGCTTCCAGGAGGTAGTTGAGGATCTTTTCCTGCCCTGTGGCCAGGCCTCATGCTGGGTGCTCTGTGCACACTGGACCCTTGCTGCCCCGTCCCTCCCTGTCCTGCTGTCCTCTTGGTCTGTGGCACACGCTCTGCCGTCACTGCGTCCCCAAGCCTGTCCCCAGTGCTTGCCTCTGTCCCCAAGGCCACAAGCTGGTGTGTGGGAACTGATGAGAGGCGAGAGGGTGGGTATCCTGCCCCAAGTCCAGGTGGGGAGGAATTTCTATTCCCGCCCCTTACTGTTCCCTTTGTGTTGGTGATGTCGGTGGGCCCCACGGGTGACTTATATGAAGCAGGGAGGAGAAAGACGGTCACTTTGTCCACATCCACCTCCGCCACCCGGGACCCAGGGTTACTGGGTTCTTGTCTCGCCTCGCAGAAAGGAATTTCAGGAGTAGACAGGCAGTGAAGTAAATAGATTTTATTTGGAGGGTTTTTGGAGGGGAGAGAGAGAGAGAGAGAGAGAGAGAGAGAGACTCAAAAGAGAACTCAGGCTTCTCCGAGGGCGGTGAGAGCCCCTTCACACACTCCAGCATTAGACATGAAAGCATGAAAGTCCACATCTCAAGAGGGGAAATGCGGGCGACACACGTGCTGAGGTGCCACATGTGCTTGGCCACGTGGATGCAAGCAGCATGTGAGCTCAGGCAGCATATGCGCGTCCTTCCTTTGTCCAAAGTGGCTTTATAGGGTTTCTTCAACCTGCCTCCACGTGGGGCTTCTTCCCAGGTCCAAGTCTGTTGCTAAGGAGGTTACCACGGGAGTTGGGGGTGGTGATGGTCTTCGTTGGGCCGAATCTCTAAAGTTTGAGATTGAGGGGGATGAGATTGAAATTGAGATTGAGATTGAGATCAGATTGAGGGGGAGGTTCGAGGGAATTCGAGGAATCTCCTTCATGGGGAGGGGCCCACTCTGCTCAGGGGCCACTGCTCAAGGTCTCATCCACAAAGTGGATCAGCCTTGGAATTTTCCTCCCAGAAGTTTTGCTGACCCGTTTCATTGTCCGAGGCCTTTCCCTTTCTACCTGCCTGCATCATTAGTGAGGTGGAGCCGAAGGCCACTCTCTGTGGTGGTCACCCCCTGGCCTTGCCCTCTCCCACCCCCTAGGACATGGGCTCAGCCCTTCCCACAGTGCTCTACCACTCTTGCTCCTGTTCTGGTGCTCAGAAGCTCGCACCTCTGCTGTTCTTTTTTTTTTTTTCTTTTTGGGTCACACCTGGCAATGCGCAGGGATTACTCCTGGCTCTTCACTCAGGAATTACTCCTGGCAGTGCTCGGGGGACCATATGGGATGCTGGGAATCGAACCTGGGTTGGCCGCGAGCAAGGCAAACGCTCTACCCGCTGTGCTATCGCTCCAGCCCTAGCTCTGCTGTTTTTGAGCTTCCTGCCAGCTTGCTGAGCGGTTCCTCGGGGTCTGTTTCCTTCCTGGTGATGCGGGGTGCTCCCGAGCACCTGGGCCGAGGGTCCCGGGGTGGCCACGCAAGGCTCAGGATTGCACGTGCCAGGCAAGGCCCTCGAGTGTCTGGTAGCCCCTGTCCTGGTAGGACCCAGCTGGCCCCGCGTGGACTTGCCCCTCCCGTGGTACCCAAGTGGAGCTGGCCTGGGTCACGGTGGGAGGCGGCACCAGTGTGTGAAATCTGAGTGGACGCAGTCAGTGGGGCTGGAGACTCCGTGCCTGGGTTTGGACAGACATGGGAATGGAGCATCCAGCTTCCCCCCGGGGGCACGTGGCCACTGCAGTGCCGTTGCTGTGTCGGTGACCTCGGCTCGCCTGCCCGCTGGTTCACCGGAGTTGATCAGGAGGGGACCCACGTTACGCTTCCAATATCTCGGGCCTGAAAAGTCACAGGGCCCCAGGGGAGGAGGAGCCCGAGAGCCCCAGTTGATTCTCTTCTTGATCATTACATGTTTCGATCAGAGGGTCTTTGAGTGTGACCCAGCCAGTATCTTTGCCTTTACTCCTGCATCCTCAGGGGCCGGAGAGGTAGCACAATGGGTAGCGCACACTCGCCTTGTTCATGGCCAGGCCGGGTTTCATCCCTGCATCCCATATGATATGTCCCAGAGCATCACCGGGAGTGATTCCAGAATGCAGGAGGCAGGAAGAACTTCTGAGCACTGCCGGGTATGGTCCAGAAAAACAAAAAATGAAAACAAAAATCCACATTCTCAGGGGCGGCAGGGAGGGTCTGGTGCTTCCCCTGCGTGTGGGTGATGCACTTCTGTCCTCGTCACCCCACAAGGTCCTGGGGCATCGCTGGGTGTGGCCCCCAATGCCAAAGCCAGACCCAGAAAACCCAGAGCTCCAGTTTCAGTCACTCTCCTCATTTCCGGCCCCAGATGTCATAGTGGACATTTATCGCTAATAGAAATCGTGCTTTGCTGGGCAGTAGACACAGAAGTGTGGATTGTTTTCCTGGTCCTGCTAGTTGCATAGGAAATTTGGAGTGTCATTTAATTTCAGATACGGTGGTGGCCCTTGCAGGTTTTCTGAGTAGGAATTTTTATGGAACTCAGTATGACTTTCATATGCAAAAAAGCGCCTCATCAATACCAAATACTCCAGTGACTAGTTACTTAATGAAACACTAGAAATGTAAGTGTTCACATTACCTCTAGGAATTAGCGATGGGAAAACAGATGCAAGGGAAACTAGAATAATAATGGCTGTTAAATAAAGAGACTGCTGCTACTGAATGTTTTTCTATGCCTGTGTTTTCTTTGAGATCGCCTAAAGTAGGTCGTTACAAATATTTGATCTTAACACTTAAGTAAAAATAAAATTGGAGAGAAACCCACTCTTGTTCTTCTACACAATCTCCTTTGTTTTTTTTTTAATTTTTGTGTGCCATTTTTAATATCAAATAGGAATGTTTTTTTTACATTTCTGCATTTCCTTTTGATTTTGGAAGAAAATATCAATGGCTTAAGATTTTGGATGGAAATGACCTGACTCTATAGATATTTAACGTGCTATGCTTTTTCCAGTGGCCTTTTGCCATTGTTCTTGGAAAGATTTTAATAAAAAGGATTTCTGAAATCTCAAGAGAACAGAAGTAAGGCTTGATGGATTTCAGCATATATTAAGTGTATATCCTGGATGAGACGAACGATGTGATACCCAACACAGCTGGTACCTTTCCCTGCCCATGTATCTCTATCTGCGAACCCATCTTGTGTGTTTGTGACAGAGACGACATTGATGAATCACTTTAATTTTCAGGGCAACAGACTGTTTGCCAGGACTATCTATAAAAACCAGCTAGATCTGGACCCGATCATTAAAGATATGTGTAGAGTTTCATAAACTGAAACAGACCAGAAATAATTTACACGTATTCTTAGATTAGAAATATATTGAAATGCATGTTTTACCATTCTCTGGATTCTTTAATCTGTTTTTTTTTCTTTAAATGAAAAGATGAATACCTATGTAAGTGTCCCATTTTAGTCATTTGGTAAAATTAATTGTGATATCATTTGACTTTTTAATTTGTGTGTGTGTGTGTTTTGGGCCACACCCAGTGAATCTGAGAGGATAGTTCCAGCTCTGCGCTTAGGGATTACTCCTGGCAGGGTGTGGGGTCCCTCTGGGACGCGGGGCACAACCCCAGGGCTGCCACACTCAAGGCCAGAGCCCTGCCTGTTGCATTATGCCTCTGACCCCAGCCCTTTAAATTATTAAAGATACTTTAAAAGTGGAATCTGTATAATTAGGACTTGATTTTTAGAGAAATAGTATCTTTTGGTCATATGTTTAAACTTAGGAAGTCATGTTTTAAGAATAGTTATGGTATCAATTTTTAACCAAAGTAATTATGCATTTGGTGAGGAACATAAAAAAAAGATACATAAACTCTCAGAAGTCTGTAAGATTAGTCTGTAACAGATAGCTAGGTTGGTATAAGAATTGAAAGAAGTTATGTAGAAAGAAGTTGCATGGAACAGATAGAAGTCATGTTCTCTTGATACTTCGAATGTGAGAAGTCATATATATTTTTAAGTTTATTCAAGGCAAACATCAAAATTTGCATCACTAGCTATCTTTTTTTTTTCTTTTTGGTCACACCCGGCAATGCACAGGGATTACTCCTGGCTCTGCACTCAGGAATTACCCCTGGCGGTGCTCAGGGGACCATATGAGATGCTGGGAATTGAATCCGGGTCGGCCGCGTGCAAGGCAAATGCCCTACCAGCTGTGCTATTGTTCCAACACCATCACTAGCTATCTTATCTATGATATAAGGTACTTCTATGAATTTGAGGATGAAAATAACCGTTCTAATATATACGCCCTGTATTTTCAGGTCCTGTCTGCATTAAACAGAACAGTGTAACCAGCACAGATTGATTGGATTTGCTGCTTCCAAATGCCTCCGTTGTCACGTTTTGATCCCAGAAATTCTGAAGATCAAGTCTCAAAACGTAAGACCTTTTAAATCTGTTTATTACGTAGTATCGGTAAATGCCTCTCGCAGTATGAATGACCTAACCTTTTCGCCCATAGATTGGCAGAGGGCGTGGGGAGGGTTTTATAGCTCCTGCCTCTTTCAGCTTAGCTGGGACAGCACAGAGATGAAACCCTTGCACCTCCGACGAGAAGTTGGGTCCCTTCGCTTGGCATCTGCTGTAGCCCAGGCTGGGCTGATCCTTGCTGCTTCTGCTTATGGCTAATTGCTTAACTGAACAAAATGTGACTCTGCAGTGACAACTCACAGCCATCCCCCAAAGCAACCCTCCCATTTCTGGCTTATCTGTGTACCAGCCTAAGGGTAATTTGTGGATTTTTAGAGCAGCGAGGCAAGTGCGTCCAGACATCAAAAAGTCCGGACCAGCGTAAGAAAGTCAGTGGGTGTAAGGCACTGCTTCCCAGGGGATGGTGTCTACAAGACATAATCTTTCATTAACAGGAAATTGTGACTGGCTTCCTAAAACTCCTGAGGTCTGAGATGCTCAGTTCTTCCAGGTATATTTTGAGGTATGCCCACAGGCTTCTGGCTGGGACCTTTGGCTCTGTGGCACCCCCGTGTTTATGGAGGCGAGGGACACACCTCACTGGCCATCGCGGGAAGGATGTTGTGTGCTCTTGGCAGGCTTTGGCGAGGCTAATGATAGCTCAACCTGGTCTCTTGCTGTCAAGTGATGAACACTCCCCCTTCATTTTTGTTTTTTATTCATTTTGTTTGGGGACCACATCTGGTGGCACTCAGGAATTACTTCTGGTGGGTTTGGGGTACCCTATGGGATGTCCGGGATCATACCTAGGTCTGCCACCTGTACCGGCAAAGGCCATCCCCACCATCTTGTTCAGCCCCACCCCTTCCTCCTCCTCCTCCTTCTCCTCCTCTTCCTCCTCTTCCTTCTCCTCTTTCTTCTTCTTCCTTCTTCTTCTTTCTTCTTCTTTTTGTGAATGATCATTTCCAAAGATCTTTCTTCAGTTTGAGAAAGTGGAATACTTGTCACTTGCTTTTTTATGGTTTAGCTCTGTGGTCTTGCCACTGGAATCGCTGCCTCATGCTAAACTTCGGTAAACATCTGTCCAGTAGGGGGAGGGGGAACACCCATGCATAATCTGAACCATATCCACGACCGATGGGTGGAACGCGGCACACATGTATGAAACATAGTCCAGACAGAAACACTTCGAGTGGGAAAGGGGATCTGGCCTAGGAGCACTGCTGAGAAATCATGCAGTGTCCCATCCTTCAGTTGGAATGTGCGCCAACCTTAATGGTAGCATTGTCCTCCCGTTGTTCATCGATTTGCTCAGTGGGCCCAGTAACATCTCCTTTGTGAGGCTTGTTGTTACTGTGTTTGGCATAGCAAATATGTCACGGGTAGTTGGCCAGGCTTTGCTGTGCGGGCAAGGACGAGATACTCTCCGTAGCTTGCCGGGCTCTCTGAGAGGGGCAGAGGAATCGAACCTGGCTCGGCCGGGTCAGCGGTTTGCAAGGCAAATACCCTACCGCTGTGCTATCACTCCAGCACGACCTTAATGGTACACACAAAATTAAGTACACACACGCTACGCTGTGTGACAGAGGCACCGTTTATTTGAGAGTTGGTGGTCAGCTGAATGGAAGGGAAAACACACCTTGAACGACCAGGCCCAGAATTTGATCTCCCATTTGACCCAGTTATAGCACTCCTGGGAATATACCCTAGAGAGGCAAAAAGGTATAGTCGAAGTGACATCTGCAATTGTTTGTTCATTGCAGCACTCTTTACAATTGCCAGAATCTGGAAAAAACCTGAGTGCCCGAGAACAGATGACTGGTTGAAGAAACTCTGGCACATTTACACAATGGAGTACTATGTAGCTATTAGAAAAGACGAAGTGGTGAAATTTACATACAAGTGGCACTACATGGAAAGTATCATGTTAAGTGAAATGAGTCAGAAAGAGCGGGATAGACACAGAAAGATTGCATTCATCTGGGGAACATAAAGCAACAAAACAGGAGACTAACACCCAGGAATGGCTGAGATTAGTACCAGGAATTTTGCTCCATGACTTGAAGGCCAGCCACATGTGCTAGGTGAAAAGGAAGCTCAGATGGAGAAGAGAGCACCAAATAAAGGGTGTTGTGAGGGCCCTCCCAGGGTGGGAGAGACATGCTAAAAGTAGTCTATAGACCAAACATGATTGCCACTCAATGCCTCTCTTGCAAAACACAGTACCCAAAAGAAGAGAGAGAGAACAAGGGGGAATACCCTGCCACAGAGGCAGGGTGGGACGGGGGGTGAGGGTGGGGGGGATGCTGGGACCCGTGGTGGTGGAAAATGGGCACTGGTGGAGGGATGGGTACTTGATCATTGTATAACTGAAACCCAAGCACAAAAATTTGTAAGTCTATAACTGTACCTCATGGTGTTTCACTAATAAAAAATAAAATAAAATAAAATAAAATTAAAAAATTTTTAAAAAAGACCAGGCCCAGTTCACGTGGCCTGCATTTGGGCCATGATGTACCAAAGTACTTTTTCCCCAGAACCTTCTTTCCGAACTCAGAGAGGCTCAGGCTTCTGATGAGTGTGATACAAGAGAGCCATTTCAAAAAGACTTGGAACTTGAAATACTCCTTGATCCGTTGCAGTCTTTCGTGTCCTTGTAATGGGTTTTCCCTCTCCTTGCCCTTCAGAGTTCATGCCACCACATTTAAGCACTGCATTTGGCCATGGTGGCGTCGTGCTGGTGTGCATAGTTGAGAGGATGACTGGGCTGAGGGCCATGGCTGCTGTTCTCAAGGCAAGTTAGAACCTGACTGGGTTCACACGTTGCCTGGAGAGCTTGGCTTTGTGCCTTGGCTGTTGCTCACATCAGACTCTGCCGTGTTTTTTTTTTTTTCCTCTCCCCATGACTTTCCTTATCTTTTTCTATAGAAAACTATTTACTTAAAAAAAAAAAAAGAAAAGAAAGAGAAAGCTTGTCTCAGCATATTGTTTCCAGATTCAAATCTTGGAATCAAGGTTTTAGATCACACAGCTCGCAAGTGATATTTTCTATTGGCGTATAAAATTTGATTTTTCCCCTTTGGTTCCCGTAGCTCTTTGAAAATAATTTTTACCTTATTTTAGTTTATAACTTCAATATTTGCACGTGCCTCTTTTATGATGATATCTTTCATCTCAAGATTCTCTTAAAATGTAGTGTGTGTTCCCCCCCCTCACTCACACACACATACACACACACACACACACATATCCCTCCCTCCCACCACACACTTTTGGTTTGGGGGCCATAAACATTGGTGCTCAGGGCTGACTCCTAGCTGTGTGCCCAGTAGTCACTCTTGGATCAGACCCTACTTGGCCATATGAGACACGAGTGTCTCATCACTGTACTGTCAGTTAGACATGGGCCCTGCCTTCTGCGTCTTTTGAATCTGAAACTCTTATGGGGCCAATAGTAGATCACGTGCATTTTGGCACCTACACAGCCTACCACCAACCTGTTCTCCACCTCCCCAGAGCTAACCGCTTACAAAAGGGTAGCAGGTTATTGCATACAGGGGGATGGGGGAATGGGGGTGGGAGGGATACTGGGATCCGTGGTGAGTCTGTAGAGGAAACACCAGGCGTAGCAGAACATCTTTGCAGATCTTGTATATAACAAAGTTCTGATGTGTGCCATATCTATAATAGATTTCTGATATGAATATCAAATATCACGGGGCTGGAGCGATAGCACAGCGGGTAGGGCGTTTGCCTTGCACGCAGCCGACCTGGGTTCGCTTTCCAGCCTCCTGTGTGGTCCCCCGAGCACTGCTGAGGTAATTCCTGAGTTCAGAGCCAGGAATAATCCCTGTGCATTGCTGGATGTGACCTAAGACCCCCCCCCCCAATAGCACTGTAGCTCTGTCCTCCCCATTGTTCATTGATTTGTTCAAGCAGCCACCAGTACTGTCTCCATTGTGAGACTTGTTACTGTTTTTCGGCATATAGAATATGCCACGGGGAGCTTGCCAGGATCTGCCATGTGGGCGGAATACTCTCGGTAGCTTGCTGGGCTCTCCAAGAGAGGTGGAGGAATCGAACCCAGGTCGGCCGCGTGCAAGGCAAACACTTAACCTGCTGTGCTATCGCTCCAGCCCCCCTCTAAAAATAATAATAATAGTCAAATATCAGAATGCCATGTTGCTATATCTTCGTTGACCCAGTTGATATCAAGTATTTCTCAAATAATCACTGCATCTGGAATGAATGTGACCTATACCATGTATGCAGGTGAGGTCTGAGCTGTCGAAGTGGGCACCAGGAGGTCGTCCCTGCCCTTCTCCTGGTCGCGCCTGATGGCGAGTCAGGCTTGAAGCCCTGTCCCCGGCCACCCCTGAACTATGGCTGTGCAGGACTCCGGGACCTGAGGCTGCTGCCCCGTGCACTGGCGTCACCCCACCCGCTGCTGTTGGTACCACCCCTGCTGTTGCAGTGACTGCACTGCCAGGGCTGGGTGCCCGCGGGGAAGTGGCTGCTCTCAGGTGTAACCGGCTCTTTGCTGCAGATCCTTTCTTTGCCTTTTGGGGTTAGCCTTAAGTCAGCGGCGTCTGCAATGAGGGGTGTTGGGAATGATCTTTTCTCTCCCGCACGCCGGGGACAGCCCGCCTGGAACCAAACACGCACTTGGCTTCTATCAGCTTCTCTCTTCCCGAGAGGTTGCTTGTCCCCAGAGGCGCTTTTTTCTCCTCTCGCAGTGTCCAACTTCCCCTGGAAACCGGAACATAAACACTGCAGCCTGGGGTGAACGTGGCTGTCTCTGATGTGCCCGCTTCCACGGCAGTGAGATGCTGTCACTGAAGAACCCGCGGGAGCGCAGATCCTCTGGGCCACAATACACACAGTCATCTGTGCACACGTGAAATCATGTCATACTTACTGCTTACTGTTAGATAAGTATGATGTGAGTATAAACAGATTGGCTCTCTAAA